GTGTCACCTATAGTTATTTAACCTTTTCCATTTTAATAGGTTTTTGTTTGAATTACAAATAATATTATTAATTAATTAGTAATAAAAAATTCATCATTATAGTAGCCATCATACTTGTACATAGAGGTGATTATTGTAATATAAACTAATAAATGTTAAAAAAAAAATGATTTATTTAGTTGTCGGCGCTTCATGAATATTTGACTGTGTAAACTGTAGAAATATAGTAACAGTTGAGAGTTATCGATTTACATATTAAAACACAACTTTTTGGAATTTTTATTTCTATAGTGATGACATACTTATTAGGTGGGGGGAGGGGATGCAAGGATTGTTAGTAATAGCAATTAGCAATTCCATTGCTAGCAATATACTCTGTTAGGTCAATATCCACGCGGTTCCCACTGGCAACCATCGTAATTATTTCTTGTTGTGTCATCACGATGGGCTAACAGACCTGCTTCGTCATCACCTATCATCCCTAACTGGTGCCCCGCTAGTATATACCGATAGCGCAGACGGGACTACCATTCTATAATCATTCATTAAAAACGTACTTAATACAACATATAAAGCATTTTTTTAATGTAAGTAAATGTTTTATTCCTACGGAAATTATAAAAACTTAGGTACTACCCGAACTCCGTTGCGGGCGCAGTTAGTTACAATATAAAAATGTAAGAATTAAAACGGACTGTTTTGTGTAGCATTCCGCAAAGACATTAAGCACATCCCTCACTGTTATAAAACCATAAACCGTTCTGCTAGCGAATGGTTCGTTCAAAATATGCTCTTAACTTTATGTTTCCAACACAAATGTTGATGCAGGTGGTACCATTTATATTATACATGCATCCCGCAACTTCGTCTGCGTGTGTATATATGTATTTACACTTTATTGCACCATTCATATATAATATTAAAATACAGTAAATTGTAATGAGAACTAATACAAAAGGCAGTCTTAGATAGACGATATTAAGAAAATAGATCTTCTTATAAAATATATATACATACACGTACTTAATAGCATACATACAATAAAAGAGAATGAGTTAGTGATATGTATGTCTCTTTACGTGATAGAATCCGAAACGAAGATATCCGCAAAAGAACTAACGTAACCGATATAGCTCGAAGGATAAGCGAGCTGAAGTGGCAATGGGATGGATACATAGTTCGAAGAACTGATAACCGATGGGAAAGGTTCTTGAGTGGCGATCCTGTACGGGCAAACAAAGTGTAGGACGATCCCCCCACTAGATGGAGGGACGACCTGAAATGCATTGCAGGGAGTCAATGGATACAGGTGGCTCAGGACTGTTCCTTATAGCAGTCTATGGGAGAAGCCTACATACAGCAGTGGAAGAATAATGGCTGAAATGATGATCTGTATAAGCACATTTTGTTGAAATTCGTTCAGCTGTTTAACAAATATCCGAACATCTTTATAAATACCATACATTTATAAAATTAATATAAATTTAATATTTTAATACATAACCAGTTGGCAACAAACACGCAAAAAATAAATACAGGTCCATAAAGTATTCATTTTAATATAATATATTGTTTCCTAATTTGACTACACTGTTATTCAGTACATGAGGCTACTTTCCTGGTAGGACGGTAAATTATCCCTTTGAGTTAAAATTACGGTGTGAGGAGTAGGGATGGTAATATATACCAATATCTGTATTATTGTAGTTACAATTGTAGGTCCAATATGGAATATAAATATTGGTTATCCGATATGTCACCAGAGAGAGACTTTGTACAAAAGTTATCTGGCTGGGTACCTCTGTCCTATTGTGTTTCTGCTGTAAATGGGTTATGTTTGCACGGCTGTGTTTTTGTTTGAAGAGTGGGATATGGTAATGAAATGGTATGGTACAGAGTCAGTATACATTAGCTCCGTGGGGGAAGGGATTGTTAGTAATAGAAATCTAAAAGTCTTATTACTAGCAATATACCCTACTAGGTCGACTTCCACGTGGTTATCCCTGGAAACCTTCGTAGTTAATTCTAGTTTAATTCATCACGATGGGCCAACTGATCGACTTTCATCTATCTCACCTACCATCATCCAATTGTGCTTCACCAACGTATACCGATAGCTCAGGAGGGGTTGTCTTACTATTTTCACCAATGAAAAGTACCATAGTTCCCAGGAATAATAGAAGGATGAACGCATGAAGGGTATCATGCACAACACAGTACACTCTGTAATGTTCATGATACTGTTCATATCTATAGGTGACAGTTATCACTTTCCGTTAGGTGAGGCGTCAGCATATATTCAGCATATACTGAAATGAAGAACTTGATTGTATTGAATATAGATGATCAGCGTGGGTATTATCGGGTAATGGGTGATGACCTTTTTCCGTCATCTATGTCCAGAGAAACCTAATATATAGATATCGGAGCGGTACAAATTAATATGTATAATTATCTGTAACGTATTATGGGTTATTCCATGCCTAATGAGGAACATCTTCACGTGGTCCTTCGAAGCCTGGAGCTATATACGATTTAAAAACTTGTCTTTATGTTGTATGCATACATTTTAATTTGAATGTAAATTTAATATGTGTTATACCACTTTTTGACTTGGAACGTTGTTTATGTCACTGGGATAAAAGGTGGCCTTCCCCTTCTTCAACCTAAATTCTACGTGTATATCAAATTTGAAAAAGATTGGTTTGTAACTTATGAATATATATTTAAAATAACTTCAATAACAGTGAGTCAGGGATGTTCTTCTCTAGAAACTTGCCCGATTTTAGAATAAGGGCATACGGATATGCTAGCCTTGCCTCTCGAGCTGCTGCAGTGTCCCCCACTTTCCTTTTCCACATTAAGTCCCTTATTCCTCTTATTTAACAATTTTCTTTGCGCATTTCCAACGTTCCCTTCCTTTTTTTTTCTTATTCCTTTCATCCATACCGTAGGTGATGGAAACCACCAACAAATGCATTCCTAAAGAGGGTTGATGTCAGGCAGGTGGCCGGTCGTAAAACTTTAAGCCAAGTCTTTTTGTAATATGGATAAAAACATACAAGTATTACGTCGACCCCAAATAATAATTCGGATAAGGGTAGGAAGATAATGATAATTAGTTAAAATCTTAGCTAAGGAAGTAAAGACGAATAAATATGGCAGATACATTTGTACCTAGATAGGTTGATGTAATTATGATGATATTTGGTATTACAATTTTGAAATTGATGATTTGTACGAACGAATGAAAATGAAACGGATGACCGTTTCTTCAGACAATGTATGTAGGCGATTTAGATTTCTAGAATTGTTCCATTTAATTTTCAATTGTCTTAGAAAAATGTGTAGGTTTCAATTATACTATTTTTTTGTATGTTTGCATACGTTACGCAATATCTTTGCCAATTCTGCATCGATTTTGGTGATTATTTTACAATAGATAAATATAAATAACTCCTTAACTAACGGAAACCTAAATTTTAACGTATAAAAGTAATTTAATATGTACCCTTCAAACAAAATTAGATTCGTAGCCGCGTTCTAATTGCAAAGGGCAGGAAGTTATTTTTAGCTGTAGGATAATTTAAATGTACACATTCCATTTTTAAGGTTTCAATGTATAACTTATTCAATGTGACCAATATATTTGAGCGTATTCTAAAACAAGATCCTGTTGTTAACAATCTTCCGCAAAAAGATAAAGAGATCACATAATTTTGGTTACTTCTGTCGCCCCTGAACTTTGGCGAAGACGGACGGCGCGCAATAAAACTGAATGTTATCTCGCTAATTTTTTTCCCTCGCCTCAGATCTGGTGATTCCAGTCGCCATAACCGGAACCTTCGAAGAACCGGAACGATTATGACACGACTTAGCGAAAATTCCGTAGAAATCGAAAATTGACGGTAAAAGTTTATCCAGGAAAAACTGATTAGACGTTCGATGTTTGTGCCTCGGCCTTCTGTTTTACAAGGAAAATATCTAGTTGCGCAAACGCGTCAATAATGTGATTGTGTTATAAGAAGAAAAAAATGTATATTGATAGAATTCAATTTTATTTTATTACGACCCTGAGAGGAGCCTCATCTGAAAGTTAATCAAGAGAGAAACGTGTTCCATGCAATTTGTACACCAATTTGACCCTTATAACAGGCAACGAGGTCCTTCATAATGTTTTCGTTTTAAAAACGAGTTTGTTTCGTCGTCGTTTGTTTTGACAGAATATTGAATAGGCACTTATATTGAATAGGCAAATTGAATAGGCATCCCTTTATAAAATACTAGCTTTTACCCACGACTTTGTTCGCGTGACCGGGATATGTTTACTAATAGGGATAAAAAGTAGCTTTTATCCATATAGTACGTGTATACCAAATTTTTTAATGATTGTTGTGTCATTAAAGAGCTATAAGGTAACAGACAAACAAACTTATCGATTGAATATTTTTCTAGTTTATTCATTACAAATAAAAAGTAAAGTTTTCATCTTTATAATATTAGAACAGACAGCATTGTTTATATTTAATGTTTGTATATTTGTCAATATCTTTAAGTGAAATAATAAAGGTATATGATCAAAGCCGATATACTTGTAACTAAATTGTTAAAAACAATAAAGCTATGAAATAAATAAAATTATATATTTATTGATCTAAGTATTAAAAAATCACACGAAAACTAATTTAGAATACAATTCGAGTATACCTAACGAGTAAACCATAGTTACCATTTACATAGAAATATATATATTTATTATTTAGTTAAGTAATCATTTGCTTAAAAATATTTAGTTAAGTTCAGTATACCATTTCTTTTTATTTTTTTTTACAAAATTGTTGGCGTGTGTGTATGTGTGTGTATGTGTGTGTGTGTGTGTGTACGTGCGTGCGTGCGTGCGTGTGTGCGCGTGCGTGTGTGTGTGCACGCATTTTGTATTTGTGTGTGTATGTGTGACTATTAATATAAAACCTTATATATTTGTTTATTGAGTACACAAATTAATCTATAAACTTTGAGAATTGTATGATGATTACTAAGTAGGTTGTACAAAGGCTGGTATAGCTCAATGGTAGTGACATATTGAGCCTTATCACTCCCCAGAGAGCATAGGCGAATTCGCTTTCCCTTGTCAACTGAAAAAATGCTTTCACACGCCGCCTCTCGATTTTTTCTGCAAATGAATCATTTTCATAAGTTAATAATAGTTGATAAGAGCGTTCATTAGCTAAAGAACTTAACGAACTGTGGCAACGTGGCAATTGTCTCACAATTTTCAAAAACAAATTAATTTTTTTTAATGTTTCTGATTACTTAAAGTACTTAGTCCGTCCTTGCTAACAAGTTAAACTATCGCTGTATCTTTTTTTACAAGTGCAATATATATATATATATATATATATATATATATATATATATATATATATATATATATATATATATATATATGTCCCTATATATACGAAACCCCGTCGGCATGGAGCCCGCTTCCGTTGAAGAGCAGCGCGTATATCTCAGAACAGTTTATGGGGATGATTCTGTGAAGGAACCAACCGTCCACAAGTGGCTAAAAAGATTCAGAGAGGGCCGAGAAAGCGTATAACTTCACATTCCGACGAAAACGTGGAAAGAATTCGAACTTGTGTTAATGGGGACCGTCGTTTAACGGTCAGACAGGTGGCTGAAGAGCTTAATTTTGGCAAAACCGTGGTCCACGAAATTCTAAGAAACGATATATATATATATATATATATATATATATATATATATATATATATATATATATATATCACATATATAAAATTGATTTACATATAAAATAAAATTTTTAAAAAACTTTTATACGTACTTTCCGGACAAACCTCGTATATATATATATATATATATATATATATAAATGCCACTAAAATTTTTGCACCTATGCTTCCTATTTTTTCTTCATATTTTTTTTTTTTTTCGGAATTTTCTAAATACATTTTTGTCATCATATTCAAAATTTTTCATGGCATCTTAATAAGAACGATATTGCATGTATCATGTATTAATTTGCTCTCAAAGAATTTTTTAGAACCAGTCAGAAACATTAAAAATTGTTAAATTGTTTTTGAATATAGACAGATAATTGCGACGTGTGGCAGTCTTCTTCAACTTTGCTAAGTTTAAGTTTCCTGTCATTGCATATTTTTATGTTTTTAGTACAATAAAGAGTTAAATAAATAAATATGATTTCTGTACCTAGACTGACACCGTTCATAGCATTATGAAGCATTGTTCGAATGTTCGATACTTGCGTAGAAGTAACACTTGAGTAATAGCATGGAAAAATAACAAGCAATGTGTATTTTATGCATCGGGCGGAAATATAAATAATTGTCGCATTCTTTGTCTGGAAAAATATAGAATTTATATTTTAATTTCTATAATGTAAAATTGATGAATATGTAGCACATTAAAAATAAAATTTTAATATTTCTATAATTAAATATAATATTATTATAGTACTAACATTAAACTCTGAACTATCCATTTGTAGCGTTTTGAATAAGATCCTTAGTAGCATAGTTGTACTCAGTCCAGAGCAAAATAATGATATAATCATCTGTAAAGTAGGCAATGTATATTAAAATGAAAATGCTAATTATATTAAAATGTATTGAGTTTCCAAAGGATTAGTCAGAGATGTTCAATATGATTAATTGCATACATACATATATATACATATCTGTCACGTCTGTCTCCCATTGCGGTAGGCAGAAACAATGGAACCCCAAATGTTTGTTGCTGCCTCTTCTCTTTATGAATATAAGGTGTCATATGAAATATGGATTTATAATATTATATACGTATATAATTATTAATCAACATGTTGTTCCATCATAGAATGAGCCACCCCTTCCATTTAATCACTAAAAACCTAACTTCGGTTGCCAACCCGCATGACAAGCATGGCAACTACTAGCAAAACCCTTCCTTATGGGGAGGCCTATGTTCCGCCATTGCTGAACTGTCCACTGACATTTTATTTAAATGTAATAACTACCAGTTTAACTTACGTTCACTGACAATTAATGGCTGATAGGACGATGAAATTATTATTATTAATAAATAAAAAAAAAAAAAAACTTACTGGCAAACTCATTGTCGAGTTTAGTTGTTCGGCGCATTTGTGTAACAACTCATACATTCTATGCATAGTACTGACATCAAGCGTTGCGTTATTTGCCAGAGCTTCAATATTGTTTTGATTTTCAGTCGAGTACTTTTCTTCAAAATTTTTAGCAATATGCTCCTTCATAATGCGAACTCTTAAATAAATAGATCGAAGTAATGTACAAAAAAATACCTGTTCCAAATCGTGTGCTATCCGCGACAAATAAATCAATATTGAAATGTAATCAAAATCATTGTCCAAATAAAACATAAGTAGAACATATTCTATTACGCTATAAGACAAGCAGGTTAAAATCCACGCAATGATTCTACTATTAGCAAAGATAATGTTATAATTCTTAATTATATTAAGTTTCTCATCAAATTTATTCAAATTTTCAAAGAAATTTTCTAATGTCTTCTTTTTCGAAGTCATCGCAATGAAGACAAGCAATAGGAATTCGATGCAAGTGGTGTTCTGAATTACCAAATACGACGATGTGACACTCGATCTTCTGTCTATCGCAATAGCAATTATACAGGACATTAAGAAAACGCTGTACATGTAAGTTATCCATAATCTTACTTTCCCATATTTCAATAAATACAAGCGATTGAAACCAAATGCCGCTTGAACAATTATTATATTTTTCACACGGAGGACGCATTTCTGGGTTTCACTAGATGAAACAACTTTCTTTGATGGAATAACTTGTATGGGTGTAACTTTTGATACAGAAATCTTTTTTAAATTACTCATTGTTCTTTTTTCAATGCACTTATCCTTCGACTTACAATTGACGACTGATGTTCAAATAAATTATAAGTAATGCCTAATGAATGAAAGACTCATATCTCATGATTGCTGATAAGAATCTTTCATTTATGTAGTGGCTATTACTATTATTGTAATCATTGATATAATGGCTTGCTACTATGATTCCGTAAATTAATTTGTTATATGCTGCTTATGATGGTATTGCGTGAATATAATTGAGATAAATGTGAATTATGCATGTTTGTGTGTAATTTTTGAATAACTGTATTATTTTGATGTATTTTGCTTTGGAGAAATTCAAGTATGCAGTTCTTAACTATCTAAGAAACAATAATTGGACGATATTATCTATGTAGGCGTATATACTAGATATATATACATGGTAAAAATATTTTCTAAAACAACCAATTTCTTCCTGCCGATGCTTTTCCTAGAGACTACAGCATGGGGTTCTTCAAAAAGGGCGTACGAAGGTTTCTTAAGGTTCGGTAACACTCGCGTGACGTCTCTGATGTTACAGACGTCTACAGGCTACGGTAACCTGTTTATCAAGGAGGAAGGGATTGTTAGTAATGGGGAGGTTAGTCCCCGTTGCTATCAAAGTGCCTTATCAGATCGACCTCCACGCGATTTCCCCTGGAAACTATCGTAACAAATTTATTGTTGAATTCGTCATGATAGGCTAACTGACTTGCCTTTTCATTCTCACCTATTATCTCTCACTGGTACTCTGCCAGTGTATGCCGGTCGCGCAGGCGAGACTACCATGCCATTTTCACCCATTAAAAACCCCGTTTATCATCAGATGGGCCGAATGCTTGTATATCACCATAGTAGTATAAAAAAAGTCGAGTCCATTGTAAAGAATTAGCTTTTTTTGTAAGCTAAATTTAGTAACGCACACAATAATTCTAAGGTCTTATCAATCGAGTAGGCGAATGGTCAGGCTGTTTTCTTATTATAATAACTTCAGAGATTATTGTTTGGGTAAAAAAGTTTAATACAGATTAAAGATATAGAAAACTGTGTTCAATTTATGGGCTAGTAATAAGCCAAACTAAGCAATGATTGATGGTTTGTTCGCAAGGGATATAAGGCAGTGTGTGAGAATTAACCTTGGTGGTATTACGTCAAAATAGGGAAGATTGATAGCAGCCCGTGACTCAGACAAGAATTTATAAAGCTTTGGGTTTTAATACAAAGCGGTTTTGTAGCGCTATTTTGCGGGAATAACGTAAAAAATGTCGTAACATATTCGTATTTATAGTTATAGTAAAAACTCTTAGATAAGAATTTTTTAGATGGGGTAAAATACAAGTAGTTACATTCTTTCATTAGTTTCATTATAGAAACATTCTTGGCATTGAATTATAAGTAATTTTTTTTATAAATAATTAATTTCTTCTTATTTAATGTAGGACTATGTACGGAACACTCATTCTTACTCTTATCATCTATAAGATGACTCAGTCTTTTAAAACCTTTTCTGAGATATGTCAAAAAATTTTTCAAGTGCTTCTCTTATCTCTAATTCTCCTATTCGTTGTTACACAATGAAAATAGAGCAGCGATAGTATCAATATACTGTGTACCTACTGCTCGCTTTCATACACGTACAGTATATATATATATATTTTTAATAAGACTTATGGTCTTTGTAGAATGCTATTTCCTATTTCCATTTAACATATTTTTTTGTTTCTAAAAATGTTTGTAATGTACCTATGTATCATGAAACATTATTCAGTAAGCCTTGGCCAAGGCCTAAATTTAGTATAGTTCAGAGAATCATTGAGGACTTCTAGATGTTCTCAATTGTGGGCCGAGCTCTAGTTGCTCTTCTTAGTGGACATGTGGTCATATGTTGCACATTTTGAACGAAACTGCTTTCTCAATTTATTGGTAAATAAAAAAGAAACCATTGCTTGTATCAGGAGTCTCATGAGATTGTAAATTTTTAATTTTTTTTTTGCCATTTAACTTGATCTTTGTTTTAGTATTCTTCATTAAACTATAATCAGAGGATATTGGGATTTTCTTTTTGTAATTTTTTAAACATCAAAGCGTTATAATAGGGCAACATGATACTTTATCTGACATTATTAGAATAATATTAAGGCCGACCCTACAGCTGCCTACGCTCGCTATCAATTTAGTTCGCTACCACCAAACAGTCGTGACCTATTTATAGGGCTATAATATTATTATATTAAGGAGTACTGTAATTATTAAGGACTAGACTTTAGCCGCGACTTCGTTGACCGGAATATAATGTTTGACAGGGATATTTAGTAGTCTATCTCATTCGCGTATTTGAGATTATTTACTAGAGATAGTGTGATAGTACAAAATGGTCTTTTAAAAACTGAGCATTATGTACTATCAGATGTATCTATGCACATAGCTGAATGTTTTATACTAAAAAAAAACAGTTTTAATCGAGCCCACACTACTTGCTTGAAATGACAAAATATTTGATATTGTGCGCCATATTAGGTAATTTATTTTCAATTTAATCATTATTAACTACTGGCAAATATGGGGCTTTTGATTGCAAAGTATCCGATCAAAATGATATAATATCCAAGAGATAAACCTTGTAATACTCGAAGCAATATATAAAGTATTCTATGTGTTATGTTAGGATATAACATATTCGTGTATAAAATTTTATTCAAATCTGTTTAATAGTTTTTGCGCGAGTGATTAACAAATATCTATTCATTTAAACATCCTCACAACCTTTCGAATTTAAAATAGGAGTAGGTAGTTGTAGGATTTCCGTATTCCATTAATAAATAGGTATGTGAACCATGAAATATATTCTAAGAAACCATGGGAGATATTTGAGAAAAAATTATACGAAGGGCAAAGAATAAGTATTAGAATACTTGTTTTACTGTTGTATTCCTGAAGGTCTAATTTAATAACTGATTTATGTTTTAACTTGATATGTCATCTAGAAGGGATCTGTTTCATTTGTTTTCCTATTTCTGAAATCCACACGGTCAAAGTAGCGGGCAAAAACCTAGTAAACTATAAAAATCTAAAACGTTAAAGTAAATCAGATTTCAAAAAAATAATAACAATAATGAAATAGGGCACCTTCATATTCACATCTATAAATGCCAGATCATGACCCCAATTACAAGATATTCTACAAATTCTATGGAAAATTGGGGGTTCTGCGCAAATGATAACTTGAGAAATGTTCTTCTATACTAGTACATTTATTTATTTATATGCTTTTGTACATTCACTTATAGTATACATAGATATTAGGTTGTAACAAAAATATACACAGGCAGACTTATCCCTTAAAAGGACTTTTCCAGTCAACCTTGAGAACGCGAAAGGGGAAAGTGCCTTATAGGGTTTGTTTATAAAGCATAACATATATGGAGCAAAAATAATATGATAAATAATAAATAATTAGTAGCTATTTTTTTTACCACACAGGGTCAAACGAGCATTCGGCTCATCGGATGGTAAGTGACTACCGCCTCCCATGATTTTAATACATATACGGTGGATATAGAGAGCGTTTATATTTTATTACAGTAAAGCATAATTTCTAATATTTTTACCTTCACGACATAACAGGACAGCAAAATAAATATAATTGTTTAAATACGTTTTTAATTTTCCTCAACGATGCTGTGAATGTATATGACAATTTTACAGCGTTATCAAAAAAATACATATGCTTTCCTGATATATTGTAGCAGCAAAAATGTACTAATACCATATAATACGATAAATTATAAAAGCGTCTCTTGTATTTGATATTTCATGCAAAGCAATTGACTTTTGAATTAATGTTATAAAATAAAAGAGAGTTTCATTTGAAAATAAACCTTGTGATTTTGCATCTGAATATAAAAAGATTTATCTTTTCAACGGATTTGTCAACATGGCACAGGGCAGGAAAAAGCGAACTTTTGTAACGGTAAGTCTTCAGCGGATGAATAATAGAGTCACCTGAATATATTTAAATATGAAAGTAGTTTCTGGAATAAACAGTTAAATAGCTCGACAATAAGGTTTTGGAAATTTGTAGAAATAAATATATGACTACAAACAATTCTAATTCTGAATTTAAAAAATATATAAATATATTGGGGTGGATAGACACATTTTTTTATTTTTTTTTATTATCTAAATTTATCATTCATCTAAATTCACAAGAAGACTTAATATTAACGAATGCAAGAACAGATCATTCTGAGGTATTCTTAAAACAAATAATAATTTAAAATTTTATCCCGGATTTAAAAATAGATTTAATTAGTATTAACATGTGACCAACTTGGGAGTAAATCTTATCGTTTGCTAAAATAATCATCATAAAATAATGAATTGGTAAATAAATCACGTAACCTACACAAAAATACAACGAATGGAGAATTTCATGTCTCTTTTATTTGCTTATCAACTCAAACAAATAGACTATTATTAAAAAGCGAATCGTGATGTCGGACCGTCAAAGTACACTAGAGAGACCATACTTTTTCATAGACGTCATTAGCTTTTACTCATATTTGCTGTTGCTTACTTTGTGAATTTATGTACTTCGTCTAGGTTAGGGTTCCCCAATCGTTTTCTTATTGAACTTGCTCTGATTATATCCTCATACCTCATTCGAATTTTGTATTATAAAAAAATTATCAGTTCTTCTCTACTATATTATGTATATAATATAATAAACCTCATAATCTTTATTTACTACTATCTATATTGAACAATACTAACTATATTTAAATATTAAACATTATTTATGGGCGAAAAACTAAAAGTCCAAGGGTCGGCAGAGAGAAGGTTAACTATGATTTTCCTAGACGGGTATGCTTTTCGCAATAACTTAAATTAATCGTACCTCTTTGATGTGGTGGTTCACCTGCCGCCTGAGGTTGCTTTTTCTCCACGGTGCAGTAAGGATCCTCACGGGCTCCAGAGCACGCACAAATGTTGTATTTGAATAGGGTGGCGTGATGTCGGGTACTTCACATATTC